GCTCAGCGAGGCCTTGAGCTTCCCGAAGGTGTCCATGAAACTCTCTTCGACCACCTTCTGCGCACAAGGGACGGGACGATGGTGGGCCAAGGCACGCTCCATAGCAGGCGTGAGGGATCGAGCGAGCTTATGGAGCCTGGCGTCGCACTGCTGGATCTGCTGGTGGAGCGTACTCAACTTTCCAGCCGTGGTCTCTGTGAAGTGATGGCGTTGGCCTTCCAGCTGCGAAGCCAAGATCACGATCGTGTAGTCCTGCGCGTCGGTAAAGATGTATGTGGACAACAATTCAGAGACACATGCATAAACAACCGCATCATAGTTTGCCGACGACCGGCAGGGACGAATTCGACTGCGCACGGATTAAGAGGTTGCCGATTAAATGAATCAGATCGAACATGATCTGGAGGAGGTACCTCGGGCTGCAGGGCCCGAGCGACAGGAGGAAGGTGATCCAGAAGGCGAAGGCGAACTGGTTCCACTGCTTCGTAGAAGATGTGGTGCTCGGTTACGCCATGACACTGTAGAACCGTGCGCCTCTGGAGTGCACCGTGAGCATGGGATGCGCAGCCAAGCTGTACATCGCGAGGCCATGGCGATGACGTTACAGCGTGGAGGACGCCGCAGGGAGCTCGTCGAGCGTCTCGAGGCCGAGATGGCAACCTGCCTGTATTAGGCATGCACGTCAGAGTACGAGGGCCACGTCATGCGCGGGGGACGCGCTGAACCACAACATTATGGGTAGCTGCTGAAGGCTAGCAGGGGCGTCATCATCGAACTTGTGCTTAGCGTGTCGCAGCGGCGTCGCTGGCGACACACTAGGCCCTGCGAGCGGATAGCGTGTCGCTCCGCCCCGCGGAGCAGGAGGCTGGGAAAGTCCTGACACGCTGACGCCTGGGAACTGAGAAGTGAATAGCATGTCGCGCCGAAGCACGGTGGGCCAGAACCAGCTGCGCGACACGCTGAGCCAAAGCTCCTGATCGTACTCACAGGGCCCAAAGAGAAAAGGTGACCCAAATGTTGGCGGAACGACGAGAGGTACGGGAAAAGTTTAGCGAGCTGTAATGCCTGGAGGGCTTCGAGGCCTATGCTGACAGCCCAGACCGACTACCCAGCTAAGTTTCGGCTACCAGGTGGAAGGAGGGGCGGGGGGGGGGCTGCACGGTGGTCATCCAGGACTAGCGGCGGTTCCGGCCTGGACCTTGGGAACCAGATGAGGGCGCTGGGTGTGCTGACGAATGGCATACATGTCCAGAGGGAGCACAAGCTGAACGCCGTCTTCCAGTAGGAGGAGAAGCAGGAGGAGGAGGAGGAGGAGGAGGAGAAGGAAGAGGAGGAGGAGGAGAAGCAGGAGCAGAAAGAGGAGGAGGAGGAGGAGCCAACGGCGAGCCAGCTCGGCCGCCGGAGGCCAGCTCCGAGGCCCTGCCCCCCCCCAAGCCCCCTTGTGGAAGGAGGAACCTCTCGGGGCCTCCAGCGGCGTCCAGAAACCTCCAGAGCAGGAGTGAGGCCTCGGGGCACCCCGACGAGCATCCCGCACTGGAGAGGAGGCCCCCGGGGATGCCCCAGAAAGCAAGTCCAGGGTGCGGTAGACGACAAGCCCTGCAGAAGTCGAGCGGCACACCTCCGATCTGGGAGGTTACTCCGTCCCCCACCCCCCTTCGACAAAAAACTAAATCTTGACTCTGGTCCAGAGTCAAGATTTAGTTTTTTGCGCTCCAGAAGGGGGAAATGCGCTCCAGAGTCTCTGGAGCGCATTTCCCCCTTCTGGAGGCTCAGAGAACCCAGACGACTTCGAGAAGCTTCGAAAGCCTCCAGGAGGAAGGAGCACCAGAGAGTGGAGGAGGTAAGCCTTCGGCAAGCACGGGGGGGCAAGGGGGCTCATGGGGGTGCACCTGGGCGGGGTCGGCGCCAAGCCGCCTGGGGATGGTTGGCGCGCGCTTCGGCCCCAGAGGGTTAGTTATACGATACGCCGGACACATACCACAAGACACTCTGCTACAAGACAGATTTGGGCACAATCTTCTGCGGGCCCCCTCAGGGCGGTCGGGGGATAAGAAGCTTCCGCGGCGCATCTGTTCGCAGGCCGGCTCCTTGTTTAGCGTGCCTCCTGGGGGGGGAGGGGTGGGGAAAGGAGGGGGGCAGAGGGAAGGGGGCGGGTGCAGGAGCCTCCTGAGCCTGGGATTGCGATGGGGGGAAGAGGGGACTGGGGGGGAGAAGTTGGGGCGGAGAGCGGAGGGGGGAGGGGGGAGCGGGGGGAGCAGTATGCGGAGGGCAGAAGGCATGAGGCGGGAGAGGGATGGGGTGAGGGGGATGATGAGGAGGGAGGGGAGTGGGAGAGCTGCTGGCCGCGAGCCAAACAGAAATTCTGCTGCGCGGCGAGACAGCAGCAAGTTGAAGGAGGAGCAGGAGGAGAGGCAAGGGAGATGAGAATAAAGGTGCGGAGGCGGAGAAGGGGGAGAAGAAGAAGAGGAAAGTAGACGGAAGGCGGAAGTGTCGAAGCAGGAGAAGGAGCAGGGAATATGAGGAGTACTCAAACGACGACGGCGACGACGACAACGACGACCAGTCGCGGGATGCCCCGTGCGCTGGGGTCCACCGCCGCCCCTCCATGGGCCGGACGACGCCGTCCGCGCCGAACCAGACCACTCCTCGGCATGCGAGCGCGGGCGAGGCGGGGGAGGAGAACGAGGGAGATGAGGGCGAGGGAGTGGGATATATAGAGAGAGAGAGAGAGATGGAGGGAGGGAGGGAGGGAGGGAGGGAGGAGAAGGGGTTGGAGGGGTAGGAGGAGCAGGAGGAGAAGGAGGAGGACGAGGAGGAGGAGGAGGAGGAGGAGAACGAGGACGAGGAGGAGGAGGAGGAGGAGGAGGAGGACGGGGACGAGGACGAGGAGGAGGGAGGGATCCCTCTGGACAACCGTCCAGAAGGGACCCTGGGCGGAGCCAGACGACCCGAGAGCTCGCATCCGCCAGGTCGTCACGAGGTTGCAGGAGGGGGGGGGGCTCGTTGTACCAGTCGTCCTTGTCGTCGCCGTTCTTGTCCTTGACCGCTCGCGCTGCTTCCTCGGGTCCGGAAGACTTTGACTGCTTCTTCGCCCAGGAATCGACCTCGGCCTTGGTCCAATGATCGGCACGCTGCATGCTGCCTGCAGCGGTCGACGTCACCGTGGCCGACGAAGGTGCTACTACCATGGTCTCTCGGACCACACACTTCACCAAGTCAGTCAGCTGCTCGGTAATTAATCCTGCCGCAAACGTGGGGCTGGCCTCTGGGCTCGATGGACTCCTGGCTGCCTGTGGCGGAACTGCAGGGCATGTTCTTGCTCCTGAAGTCTGACATCCCTCGCCTGAGACCACTGCCAACACCACCGCACTGTCATCGTCCCCCACGCCGTGGAACCACGCCAATCGGACCTCACCGAGGGCTCAAGAGAGCTCCGTGCCAGTCGCCACCCCAGCGCTGGCTCATGCCCCTGGTGGCCTCTTAGAGGGGAACCCCACTCCGCTACCAATTGTGGCAGCATCAGTCCCCTGGATGTATTTTGCACTTGGGCCAATAAGGACACGGAATGCACATTCGCAAGCTAAACCTACTCCGACAAAGCAGGCATCCTTTCCCAAGAGGGAGCGAGCAGGCCTCAGCAAGAGCGAACATCTCTGCACGAAGCCTCACCGGGGGGCAACCAAGGGAGGGGGGGTAAAAGGGGAAACGCACACACGCACACTTTTTGGCGATCGCGGCCTCGCGCGCAGCGACGAGGCGGAGAGAATCCCCATGCACCTGGAGAGCGCGCGCGGCCGGCTCCTCGGAAGATGAGGCAGTAATCAAACAAAGTCGACCATGCCAGGCGCATACCCGGGCAACACCCACACATACACACAAACACAAACACACAACACACAAGGTGGGTCGTCATCGATGTGCTCGTCGTCGTTGTCGTCGCCTTGTCGTCATCGTCCTCGTCGTCCTCGTCCTCCTCCTCATCCTCCTTTCCGTTCTTTCCGAGTTTGGGAAACGATGCAATAAGTGCACACCAGTGCCTCCCCAGTGCCGCCAAGCACCCAATACCATTGTGAAGAAGACGTCCAGAGACCACTCCAAAGCCAGCGTCTCAGCCAAGAAAGGCGACTCCAGAGTACCGAAATTCTTTCCTGCCCGGTACAATAATCAATTTCCATGTTCTGCAGCATAAGACCCAAACAACAAAACCTTCTGCTCCCTGGCCGTCTCCCCAGAGAGCGCCCATCGAACCTCAGTCGGAAGTTGGTGCTCAACTCCTTGGCCCTCTCGATCGCATCGGAATCATGCTGGTTCCAATAGAAGTTGGTGCTCAACTCCTTGGCCCTCTCGATCGCATCGGAATCATGCTGGTTCCAATCTACAACCATATTGAGTGAAACGGTCGCGGAGTGATCTGCCAAGGAGTTGACCCTGCGCTCATCCCGTGGCAGGCACCCAAGTGGCTGAGACGCCGACCGATGCGGATGAAGACATAGTGGTCGCGTGGCTGCCGAATCATTCACGGATTTACCTGAAAAAACCTGCGGCAACATCTGGTTGTCTGTTTGTATCCAGAGACGCCGAGAGCCTCCGCCCCAAAAGTGCTTCTTGTCCAGCGGCAGGCATGGTGGAACAACTTCTGCAGAAGAAGAAAACTTGATCCGCTTGAGCGGAGCTCTGCGAAGTGCTCCTTCTCGTCGCAAGCATGGAAGACCTCACTTGCCGAATAGCTGGGATCAGATAGCCGGGGATGCATTGTTCCATGCGCTTGCGGGGCGAAGCGAGACCAGCCGGTCTCGCCGTACAGGGCCTCATACTTCAACGAACGGCCTCTCCCACGAAGTCACCTGACGCCAACTATGGCTCTGGATCAACCCAAGCCTCCTCCGCCTGCGCTCCGTCACAATCGCCTGCACGGTTTCCCACCACCGCGAGTCTCTATATGATCTGACAAGCTGTGGTACCATCGTGCCGTCACCAATAACAAAAAATGGCCATCCCTCCAGGCAGCCTGGAACCTCCTCCTCCTCCCTCTCCTCCTCCTTTTTGCTCCTGCTTCTCCTCCTCCTCCTCCTCCTCCGCCTCCTCCTCCCCTCCTCCTCCTCCTCCTCCTCCTCCTCCTCCTCCTCCTTGGCTTCCTCCTTGGCTTCCTCCCCCTCCTCTGGGTCGCGGTCCGCTGGTCCCCGCAGCGACGTCGGCGGACCGGAAGCACAGTGCGGGGCGCCAAAAGAAGAAGTTGCCTGCCGAGGGCGGAGGCGGCCGCACAGCAGGCGACGGGAGACCAAGGGAGCGGCGCGCCGACGGGGCGAACGAGTAGGGGATATGGTGAAGTCAATGAACTCTCAAGCTGTGATTGCGCAGCCTTTTTCCTCAGCCTAGTTCTAGAATGTGTCGGAGGACTTCTAGATTCGATCCTCGGTGGCTGCGGATGGCGCATCAAACATACATGCATGCACGCCTGCAGCAAATCATGCGGCGATGCGTTCGCAATCCTGCGCTGCATGGCGTGGCAACCATGCTCCCAGCAACGAGAGTGGGAGGGGGGGGGCAAGGAGGGGCAGAGGGAGAGAGGGGAGGGGGGAGGAGAGAGTAGTGGGGAGCAACCGCCGAAGAACCGATGATAGCTTTGGAACAAACCTTCGAAAACACCCTCCACCTCCTCCGCCTTCTCATCCACCTCCTCCGCCTCGTCTTCCTCCTCCCAATTACTCCTCGTCCGCCTCCTCCTTCTCCTCCTCCGCCTCCTCCGCCTTCTCCTCCTCCGCCTTCTCCTCCTCCGCCTCCTCCGCAGCCTCCTCCTCCTCCTCCTCCTCCTCCTCCTCCTCCTCCTCCTCCTCAGCCTCCGCCTCCTCTCCTCAGCCTCCGCGTCCAGCTCCTCCGCCCCTCCTCCTGGGAGCCAGGCCCGCCTGTCAGCATCGCGCTGAGGGCCCCGGCGGCGTAGACCCACCGCACTCTCCGGGGCAGGTCGCCTGGCCCCCCGCGGGCCGACTTTGCGCGGCGGCCCTCGAGGGAAAGCGAGCGGCCAGTCCGAGGCGGGGATATATCCGTATCCACCGCCTGTGAAAACGACCTCCTGGGACACCAGCGGGCGGTGGATATGGATATGCTTTGGCCACAGGGAGGCCGAAGATATCCATGTCCACCGCCGGCCGAGGTCCCCGAAGAGCGGAGTCATCCCCCAGGCGGTGGTCATGTAGAAATCCCCGCCTCGGAGCGAAGGCGTCACAACTCAGGGATGAACCCGATTTCGGATCCGCCGTACTTTGGCAGATTTTTGGACCGAGAACTGCGTCGGAACTGCACCCCAAACGATGCGAAATGGTAGGTCGGAAAGCCGCCGCGGCAAAGTAGGGCGAATATTTCCGCAAAGGGTATGGCGAAGGCAACGATGGCAAATTAGAGCGGAAATCGGCATTCAAGGAGCTTGAAAGGTAGGGCGGACATGTTCGCCCTACTTACGACATGGCCCAAAGGACGGCGGGTCCGAAGCCAGGGGGGGGATGGAGGAAGGATTTTCCGCAAACGCTCCACCAGCAGCTGATAAGCATATGTAACACGCGAAACTCCCGTGGCCAACGCCCGATGCCTCCCCAGTCCACGAGCATCGCAAGTTCACGGAGAAGGAGCGAGGGGCAGGAGGAGACGAATGGGCCATGGTGCTGTGCGAAGATCACCCTGACATGGGGGATGTACGGATGGAGAGATGGAGGGATGGAGGAGGCAGAGCGTCAACCACGCGCTTGGCCTGCGCTGCTGACCCCTCAACCACCGCTCGGGACTCCTCTACCGCCACACGCCCAGACTCTCACACTGGCAAGCTGGCAGCTGTACTGGAACAGCCCGCCTCTGACGAGGCACGCGCGGCCAACGCCTGGGACGGCCGCTGCGCTACCGCCTGGGCGAGGCGCTCGGCCGCCGTTTCTGAAGCCGCATCCTCCAACTCCATGTTCAAATCCTCGACCTTCGCCGCGCGCTCGGCACCCGCCTTGGGCGTCTCGGACAGGCGCTCGACGACCAGCTCGAGGATGCCGCCGCACAGCGGTGTGTCAGGCTGGCACGCCGAATTCCGACCAAGGGCTTCTTCTCCTGTCCCGCCGCCCAGCGCAGGATGGCGTCAGGCGGCGGTGAGGGCGCGAGCGCTTCCTCCAAGCGATCCAAGACTCGGCGCCGCCGCCTCCACCCGTACCGCCAACGGCCGCGTGTTAAGTTGCGCCCTGCGCCGCACCATGCGCAGCCACAGGGATGAGCGCGGCGAGCGCTCTGCACGACGCGCCTGCGTCCGGCGCCGTAGCGGCCGCGCCGACGGCTCGCGCCTGCTGCAACAAGGCTGTCGACGAGCACTGCCGCGAGCGCTGTCACGGCTCCCGATACATGTGCCGCCGCCCGTGGGAGAGCGGCCCGCAGCGGCTCGGCTCAGCAGCCGAGCGGCTCGAGCAAGAGTGATTGCGGAGGTCGAGGAAGAGGAGGACGAGGAGGACGAGGGCGGAGGTTGTGCCTCCCATCCCCACCCCAGCGCACGACGCAGCGCTCTCTTATGTAAGCGTCGCGCCAGTCGAACCAGTCCAGTTCCACGTACTCCTCCTCGCGGGCGGGCTGGGTGAATCGCCTCTCGCTATGGTCGCCTCCGCCGCCGCCTGTTGGTGGCTCCTGCGCCGAAACTATAACGCGAGTCCAAACTCAACAACTCACCATAAATGGCGACACGTTTTGATCTCCAGTATCCCCTCTGGGCAAACACAGAATGGGGCATATCCGCATGGACACAACGCAGCTTCCCGACCCCATATTGTCATCATCATCATCATCATCATCATCATCATCATCATCATCATCATCATCATCATCATCATCATCATCAGCATCAGCATCAGCATCAGCATCAGCATCATCATCAGCAGCAGCAGCATCACCATCATCATCAGCATCATCATTATCATCAACATCATCAGCATAATCATAATCCTCGTCATCATCATCATCATCATCATCATCACCACCACCACCACCACCACCACCACCATCATCATCATCATCATCATCATCATCATCATCATGGCCATAATGAGCATGTCCGTTCTCCACCAAATCCTCCTCCTGCTGCTGATCCTCCTCTCCTCCACCTGCTCCTCCTCCTCCTCCTCCTCTTCCTCGCCCTCCTAGCACTAGGTCACCTCCTCCTCCTCCTCCTCCTCCTCCTCCTCCTCCTCTCTTCCGTCGCCTCATCCCATCAGGCTATCATCTGCGTGATCCTTCGGTTTCTCCTTCCCCGTCATCCTCCCTATCGGCATAAAGAACAACAGCCATGCTTGTCATCAACCTCCTCATCCCATCCATTATCATCCTCGTGGTCCCTCCTCATCCTCCGCTGCCTCGTCATCCACATGTTCCGTTTAAGCATTTGCCTCGTCCCTCTGCCCCGTCTGACAGTGCGGGCGCGGCCGCAAAAAAAAAACCTCGCAAGAAACCCAACCCTGAGAACCCGTGCGCGAGGTACACTTAAAGGGAAACCCGGAGCACCCTGAACGCAGCAGCTCCTTCAACGGCTGCGGGAAGTCACCGCGCAGCGCGAGGAGCGAAGAAACCCAGGATACCCTGGCAAAAAGCATTTGGTTTCTTGATGCGCGCCCCCACTGTACCCTCTACCCACCAAACCCATCCTGCTCATCCTCAACGTCAATCCCAAGAGCGCACTATCAAATCTACAAGTATGCCCCTAGATATATATATATATATATATATATATATATATATATATACACACACACACTAGAACCACGCGCGCTTCGCGCGCGCTTAGATTCTAGTACCAGCTGCGCCGCAGATGCCTCTGGTACCACGGGCACTCCCGCGGCTGACACCACCGCCATGTCTGCATGTCTGCCCTTGCTACGATCGCGACGACCGCCGCTGCCATTGCCATGTGTACATATGTGAGTGTGCAGGTACGTCTCCAGCGGTCTTCGGATCATTCCGCCTCCGTGCCAAGGTTGTGGGTCAGAAGCCACGTGCATGCTCGGTGGGATGCCTCTTGGAGGCAGTGTTGAAGTCTTTTGGGGGTCGATTTGAAGCATCGTCAATCTTCTTTTGAGTATCTGGGGGGCCTCTTGGGGGCCTCTTGGGGGCCTCTTGGGGCCGTTGGGGGTCTCTTGGGTTTCCTGGGGACCTCTAGGGGCAGAATGCTTTAGTTTTCGGATCGTGTTCGCCCCCTTGGGCTCATCATGAGGCCATCATGGAACCCCCTTGGACCTTAGGCGCCTCTTGAGCCGCGCTGCGGCTCCAGGCACCGTCTCACTCGTCGTCGAACGTCGACGCAAGTCGTCGTGTCGTCGTACGTCGCCGTACGTCGTCGCATTCGTGTGGAGGGCGGCGTGACGACCACAAGCCCGCGAACCGCCCCCCCCCCGAGGGGCCCCCCCCCCCCTACTGGAGGGGCCGTTTGGGGACTCTTATGGGGCCTCCTGTCTTGGGGCGATATTTGGGGTGATTTCGGCAATCGCCGAGCAAGAAACGCACGAAACGGCAAGAACGTCGAAACGCATCACAAACCGAAAAGCAACTCTGTCAGTTTCGCCTCTTGGTGCCCTTGTGAGGGTCATCTTGGGCGCCCTCCTGTGCCTCATGGGGCCCTCTCGAGGTTAGTGGGGTGCCTCTTGGGGTATGTTGGGGGTCTTAGGGGCCCTTCGAGGTTGACAGGCTCGAAATGTCAGCTCGCGTTCCTCCTCCGTGGCCTCTTTTGCGGCCCTCTTGGGGCCCTCTTGGGGCCCTCTTGTTGGCCATGTTGGGCGGCACTTAGGCGGTGCCTGGCTCTCTCTCGGGCTGGCGCCCCAGGAGCGTCTGGAAGTCATGTTAGGCAGTGTTCGAGCGCGCTTGGGGAGGTCGTTGGGCGTGCCGCGAGACTGTGGCGATCAACGGAAAGACGTTGCCCACCCCCCACCAACATCCCCCAGAGTAAGTCCAGGTTGGTTTGGTGTGTTTAGTTTGTTTGTGTTTGGGTTTGTCTTTTGGGTTGTCAGCAGTGGGCCTTTGATTTGGTTGGATGCGTTGTGTGTTCTTCATTATGTTTGGTTTTTTTTCCCGCCCCGAGCTGGGGGAAGAAAGAGGGACAGAAAGGCGATGATGACGAGAAGATTTGGTTTTAACGTCCACGGCAAAAGGGAAACGAAAAACAAAGGGCCCCAGAGACGCAACAAGAAAAAGGGAACCGATCTCTCACCTGGGGAGGTCGAGATCAACCAGGGTCCAACGTCAACTGTAACACCGTCGAGCCTGGGATGCCAGACCGTGGAGATGCGGTTCCAAGACTGTTTCCTTCATTGGGCTCCGCTTTTGGTAAAGGGCCCGCATGCGTTGCGCAGTACGCGCGCTTGCCCGCCGCATGCGAAATACTTGCAGCGGAAGCATATATATATATATATATATATATATATATATATATATATATATATTATATATATATATATATATTCCTCGTCCCATGCCCCCGGCGGGGCCTCGGGGCCTCCCTGGCCGCTCCGCGCCTCGGAGCGACGTGCGGCGCGCACGCTGCGCCGAGCGTGCCGGGCTGAGTGGGGAGGGGGAGGAGGGGGGGGAGGAAGGGGAGGGGAAGGGGAGGGAAGAGAGAATCCACGGATTGCACCGGTCTGACAATCACTCATAATTTTATAAGGGCAATGTTTGAGCTACTTCTAACAAGGCTTCTCGATGTGTGGCGAGAGAAAGATCTAGAGCAATGTTCCGGAGGGCAGGGGGTCGGTGGGCGGCTGTCGCTATCCAGTATTCCTCAGCAGTTTCTTTCGTCCACTTCAACCGAGGTCGCCCCACCCGGTTTTTCTCGAATCGTAGAAACTCTAGCGTGTCGGCTCTCATGGTTGCTTGCCGGACTGGGTCCGAGGGATCGGCGTTCAAGAGGTTTTGATACAGTTTCAGCTTTTGTTGGTGGTACATTTGGCTGAACGGAGTCACTGGTTTGGTTGCTCCTGCAGCTTGGATACTCTGGTTCGCCCTTTCGAAAACGAGAGCATTCGTGTTTGCTCGGTTGACGTATGTCGTTGTCATGTGCAGGATTTTGCGGAGTCCTTTCAGCTGCACTGTGTCGATCCGTTTGATCGTTGCTTGCGTGAGCTGTGCTGTGGCCAGTCCGTACAGGAGCTTAGACTGGATTGTCGCGTCGAAAGCGAGGATTTTAAAGCGAGTGGGGCAGTCGCTGTGCAACCAGAAAATGTTGAGCTTTTTCATCGTAGCGAGAACTTGAGAGATGCGAGCATTGACTTCTTTGGTAGTGTCGCTCTTATTATTAAGCATGCATCCAAGGTATTTGACTTCCGCTTTGACTTCCACAGGGTCCCCGTTAGCGAAATGGATGTTTGGGTGGGAATGCCCGGTGTGGATAACTTCACACTTGGTTGTGTTGAGTCGAAGGCCATACTTGGAACTTTCTTCTTCAATTGACTTTAACAGCGCATTCATTGCTTTGGTGCTTTGCGATATACAGATGGTATCATCGGCGTACAAAACAGCGTCAAAGCTTACGCCTGGCAGACGATGCGGGCCGAGCTGGCGGTCCACGTTTTTCTGGACATCATGGAAAAGAGCGGTCATGACCAACAAAAACAAATATGGCGACAAAGGACAGCCTTGTCTTATACCGCACTGTTGTTCGTACCACGACGATTCCGCTCCTTCCATTTCGACCTTGAACTGCGTGACGCGGTAAATGCTCTGCACCGCTTTGATCAGCTTGGGGTGCACATTCATGCGGTCCATGGCGTTCCATAGACTCTCTCGCGTGACTTTATCAAACGCTTTTTCCCAATCGAGCAAAACCATTAGCACCTGTCGGTCGGCCGCTTCGCCCATCTCGGCGAATCGTCTCACGCACTGAACGGCGTGCATAGTGCTCTTTCGCCGGCGGAAGCCGTACTGCGTGGATTGGACATATGGGTCAACGTGTTCCTCGATGCGCTTCTGAAGGATTGCAGCATACAGCTTATATACGCTGTTGAGTAGTGAAATCGGCCTGTAGTTGTCCAGTTTGCCGGTGTCTCCCTTCTTAAAAATCAGCGCGACGCGGGCTTGGGCCACGTCCGGAGGTGCAGTTTCCGAGCGCCACCACTCGTTTAGCAAGTCTACCATTTTGGAGAGGTTCACATCGCCCAATTCTTTCAAGGCCTCCATTGGGACGTTGTCCGGCCCAGGGGCCTTGCGTCGTTTGCACTTCTTCAGCACCGCTCGTGCCTCGGCCAAGGCGATATCTCCCGCATTGTAAGGCAGCATCGGTTGCGCTATCTTGGAGCGCGGCAGCGTCGACCCAGGGAGGGCATCAATTGCTTTCCATTGTTTGGTGGCCAGATGCTTGGCGGCCTCCTCTGCCATTTGGCATGTTGGTACATTTTTGCCCTGTGCTGTCTTGAAGTTGTACGGTTGTGCTACGTAACCTTTTTTGAGCTGTCGAATGCCCATCCACACGTCCCGAGTGTCGAGGTCCTTGCTTAAAATCTTAATTATATATTCCCGGCTGTCTCGTTTCTTGCTTTTCCGGAATTCCGTGGAGAGCAAACTATACGCGTGTAGGTCCTGATTAAGCAAGGCCAACCTGCGTTGTTCGAGTAGCTCCAGCGTGCCGGCTGATATTTTCTCCTGCGTTGGTTTGCGAGGTGCTCTCGGGAGGCTTGACAACGAGGCTCCCGCTAATGCTGCTTGGACTGTTTCCGTGGGGCTCGCGCCACTTGCTGCGGCGATTTGCCATGTTACTTGGGCATTGAATGTCTCCGCTTGGTCTTCCGTGCAAGGTAGAAACTTTGGTCGAGGCGTTTTTGCCTTCTCGGGGCCCCGCTTGAGGCGCACGCAGAACGTGGCCCGAAGCGGTCTGTGGTCCGAGTGGATATTCGCGGTTCGATCGGCTTCGCAGTCAAGGACGGCTCTTCTCCATCTGCGGCCCACGAGGATATAGTCCAATACTTCGCGCCACTGCCTGGTGTACGGGCTACTGAAAGTGGCGCCAGGTTCCCTGTACGTGGCTAGTTTTTCTGGCCATTTTCGGAACTGTGTGTTGGTGAGAATCAGATCATTGTCAACGCAGAAACTCAGAAAAAGCTGCCTGTTGTACACAGAATCCGGGTTGCGTTGGAGAGGGTTGACGTTTTCTGGATCGAAAGTGTGTTGGCCGACTACAGTTCGCTCGGCATCATCCAATGCAATGTGTATTCTAGCATTGAAATCACCTAAAAACAATGTTGGGCCTTTGTTTTTGTATCGGTCCCAAATGCGCGAGAGATCAGCATAGAAATCGTCTTTCTCCGCTTCTGGGCGCGCGGCGGTTGGTGCGCATACGCCAATGAGTGTCAATTGTGTTGCTTGTTGTCGCAGTTCCAACACAATGATCCGGTCCGAGACCGGGACTACATATTTTACGTATTTGCAATGATGTTTGCTGATTACAAAACCAACTCCCGTCGAAAAGTGCTGTGCTTGCGTTTTGCCTTCTCCGGCGAAATACCAATGGTAATCTTTGCGGGTTTCCCGCGAATTGGTGCGAATATGGGTTTCTTGGAATGCAAGGAACGGAATTTCTTTTTGCTTCATCCATATTTCAATTTCTTCTCTCTTGCCTGCCTGTGCTAGTCCCTGGACATTTGCGGTGGCGACGTGCAATTTGCTTCCAAGAGATAGCGTTCGCGTGCGCCGCCAAAGCTCCATTGGTGGAGCGGCGGAAGGATACTGGGCCGTAGCCCGATCCTGTTGGCTTGAGAGACGTGCTGCAGAATTGGTCCCTCGTTGTCTATGTGAAATGCGTGCTATGCGTCGTTTTTCGGTACGTGCGGCTTTTCGCTTTCGTGCGGCCGTGCTGCTTCTTATGCCGCGATTCGCATTGCGGCTGCGGCCTTGTTCATCATGGAGGGGCGCGTGGTTCCGGGGTTTTGGTCTCCGCTGGGCAGAAGCCCGCGGCTGACCCGCTGTACCACGGAAGGTGTCACACGTAACGGTACCCATCCCATGTAACTGTTGCGTGTGTGACGATTGTGTTCCGGGGTTGGGCTTCTGCCCGTCCCCGGCGGGTGTGGTGCGGACTGTGAGGGCTTCTGCCCGAGTCCGCGGTCCTCCGGGGAGTGCCGGGGCTTCTGCCCCACCCCCCGGACGGCCCAAAAGTTTGGTTTTGCGTTCGTAATCAGAAAGAATATGGCGGGGAATGGCGAGGACGAGGGGGGGGGCACAAGTGGGCTCCAGCATGGTTTCTGACACCTCGTGATTCCCTAGGATGTCCGGGGGCCCCCGTGTGTTCGTCCCTGTCCCTGCCTCTCTGGGTGCATGACGATATTGCAATAAAAGGGGAATAGAGAAGGTAGGAGGAAGGCTGCGGGGGTGATCAAGGACAGAGAGCGATTCCTTTTCGGACTGAAGTCCCCCGTGCAGCGGTAGAACGACCGAGGCGGGTGAAGACGCATCGCCGCGACCGCCGTGCCCTGCCCTGCTGTCCTGTGCCAGATTCGTCGGAGCTGCAGGGTGCCTCTGCTCAGCGACGTCAGTGGGGCGCCCCCCCTCCATTCGCGGCCCCGGATGGAGCCCAGTCACCGCGACGGATCGATTAAGGAGGGGGGGAGGGAGGGCGGAGGGGGGAGAAGGGCGGGAGGGGGGAGCGAGGGGGGAGCGGGAAGAAGAAAAAGAAAAGAGGGGGCGCCGGAAGTCTGCCAGACCGGCGCGCGCCCGTCAGCGCCCGCGCGGGGGCTTGCCCGCGGCCTGCAGCGGGTGCTCCTGGGCGAGGAACTCCGTGTCGAAGAAGAAGGGGGTGTCCTTGAGCCTGTCCTGCAAGAAGGCCATGAGCGCCTTCCCGTTGAAGCCCTGGCCGTTGGCGTCGCGGACGCACACGCTCATGATGGCCTCGCTGGCGTCGAAGAGGCCCGTGACCGCGACGGTATCCTTGACCAGGACGCTGAAGTTCGGGTTCTGGACGCTGTGCGCCCAGTAGGTCTTGATGGTCGCGCGGTCGATGCCCGCCTGCTGCAGACCGGAATAGCATGCCTGGGGGATGGTGTCCACCAGCTTCTTCATCTGGCCTCCGGTGATCACCACCTTCAAGTCCGTATGCTTGGTCAGATCACGTAGCTTGCTCTGGAGATTGCGGTTCTCACTCCATATCTTGGGCTCCACGAGAACATAGCTGCCGCCGGTCCATGCCTTCGAGAAATCATTCGGGGAGAGCTTCTTGACGATGCTCTCGGCCTCGTCGAGAAACTGCTTGATGCCACGCTCACGCGGCCGGAGGAGCAGGACACCGGCATGCGCATTGTCAAGTTTCTGCAATACTCCCTGCAAGCCATGCACCTGGATCTGCAGGCGCCTCGTCCTGACCTCCATCTCGTCGAGGCGGTCGATCTCCTCGCTCATGGCATCATCCGGCCCAGACGCCTTGCCCATGCCTTTTCCGTCTCCTTTGAAGTCCACTGCGGCTCCAGCGGGTCCTCCGCTTGCAAGAGAGTGACCAGCCGTGTCCAGCCGGCGGCGCGCGCTCCGTGCGAACTGCTCCGGTTCTGCCTCGTCCGCCGAGTCCATTGCCTCAATGAGGCGCTCGGGTGCGACCGGTATGGCCGACGCCTGCTCAACCACCGTGTCGAGCACCTGCCGGCGAGAAGGGAAAGCCATCAGGTCCTTCAGGAGATCTCCGGGGTACTCGGTGCCGTGCTCAGTGCGTGCCTGGCGTGCCGCCAGCATCTTGGTCAGCCACTCTTTCTTCGGCATGCTGGCCGCCATGGCTGTGGATGAGAAGGGATGCTGGAGAGAAGCGCGAAGTGGGATGGGGTGCTGTTGCAAATCGGAACCACAACAGCTATGTATATATCTACATGTATATATATATATAGATATCGGAGGTGAGGGGGTGAGATCGATGTGGAACGGAGAGCCCCCCGACCGGGAAATCCATCTCGGTTTCGTGTCCGTGCGTGCCGCGCGCGCGGGCGAGGCGAAGCTGCGTGGGCGGGCGAGAGAAAGTCTCCTGTGGCTGAGGCGTGGCCGGACCAAAATGACTCCCTTCCGGGCGGCCGGTGGCCCGTGGTGTCCCGCCGGTGTCCCTCTGGTGTCCCGTGTGGCTGAGGCGCGGCCGGACCAAACGATTCCCTTCTGGGCGGCCGGGGCCCCGCGGTGTCCCGCCGGTGCCCCGCTGGTGCCCCGTCGGTGTCCCTGTGGCTGAGGCGCGGCCGGACCAAATGTGTCTCTTCCGGGCGGCCGGTGGCGCGCGGCGTCCCGCCGGTGTCCCGCTGGTGTCCCGTCGCCCGTCGGTGTCCCGATGATGATGTGGATGATTATGATGATGATGGTGATGATGATGATGGTGATGATGGCGATGATGATGATGATGATGATGATGATGATGTTGGTGTTGTTGTTGATGATGATGATGACGTCGATTGTGAGATCGATTGTGATATCGATAGTGAGACCGAATGTGAGATCGATTGTGAGATCGATAGTGAGATCGATTGTGACATCGATAGCCAGATCGATTGCGACATGATGATGGTGATGATGATGACGTTGATGATGAAAGTGTTCCGATGACGATGATAATGGTGATGATGTTGATGATGTTGATGATGCTGATGTTGATGATGATGATGATGATGGTGTCTCGGTGATGATGACGTTGATGATGATGTCGATGATGATGACGGTGTCCCGATGATGCTGATGATGATTATGTTAACGATGGTGATCATGATAGTGTCCCGATGATGATGCGGCTGATGATGATGACGATGACTGTGTCCTGATACTGCTGATGTTGATGATGACGATGATTGTGATGTTGGCGATGATGATGATGATGATGGTGGTGTCCCGATGATGTTGATGACCGTGATGATGATGATGTTGGTGTTGATGATGAGGGCGGTGTCCCGATTATGATGATGTGGATGATGTTGATGTTGATGCTGATGTTGGAATTGGTGATGATGATGATGATGACGTTGATTGTGAGAGCGGTTGTGATATCGATAGTGAGATCCAATGTGATATCGAGTGTGAGATCGATTGTGAGATCGACTGTGAGATCGATAGTCATATCAATTGTGAGATATATCGAATGAGATCGATTGTGAAATCGATCGAGGAGATCGATCGAGCGAGACCGATACTGAGATCGATAGTGAGATCGATAGTGAGACCGGTCGAGTTTTGCCCCCCCCCCCCCCCCCCCCCCCCCCCCCCCCCCCCCCCCGAACCTCCTTATCACCCGAAGGGTGGTCGTGTAGGTATATATATTATTATATATATATATATATATATAATATATAATATATAAGCAGAAAGCCAACAAAAAAAAGGATTGTCCGAACTGTCGAGGTAAACCATCGAGTGCCCAAGGGGCTGGAGGCAGG